TGATCCTCCTGCTGTACTGATCCCCACCAGCAGGTGATCCTCCTGCTGTACTGATACACCAGCAGGTGATCCTCCTGCTGTACTGATCCTGTAGGTGATCCTCACACTGTACTGATACACCAGCAGGTGATCCCTGCTGATCCCCTTTGGCAGGTGATCACTCACTTAACAGCCTTTGATACACACCAGCAGGTGATCCTCCTGCTGTACTGATACACCAGCAGGTGATCACTCTGCTGTACTGATACAACAGCAGGTGATCCTCCTGCTGTACTGATCACCAGCAGGTGATCCTCCTGCTGTACTGATACACCAGCAGGTGATCCCCCTGCTGAAATACTGATACAGCAGCAGGTGATCCTCCTGCTGTACTGATACACCAGCAGGTGATCCTCCTGCTGCTGTTACACCAGCAGGTGATCCTTCTGCCTTAATGATACACCAGCAGGTGATCCTCCTGCTGTACTGATCACACCAGCAGGTGATCCTCCTGCTGTACTGTTGATACACACCAGCAGGTGATCCTCCTGCTGTACTGATACACCAGCAGGTGATCCTCCTGCTGTACTGATACACCAGCAGGTGATCCTCCTGCTGTACTGATACACCAGCAGGTGATCCTCCTGCTGTACTGAAACACCAGCAGGTGATCCTCACTAACACTATTTTTCCAGCAGGTGATCCCTCCTGCTGTACTGGCCTTTACCAGCAGGTGATCCTCCTGCTGTAATGATACACCAGCAGGTGATCCTCTGCTCAGCCCTGATACACCAGCAGGTGATCACTCCTGCTGTACTGATACACCAGCAGGTGATCACTCCTGCTGTACTGATACACCAGCAGGTGATCCTCACTGCTGTACTGATCTCCCCACCAGCAGGTGATCCTCCTGGTGTACTTCTGAAACACCAGCAGGTGATCACTCCTGCTGTACTGATACACACCAGCAGGTGATCCTCCTGCTGTACTTATTTACCAGCAGGTGATCCTCCTGCTGTACTAGCTACCAGCAGGTGATCCTCCTGCTGTACTGATACACCAGCAGGTGATCCTCCTGCTGTACTAGGCCATAAATGCAGATGATCCTCCTGCTGTACTGATTCACCAGCAGGTGATCCTCCTGCTGTGCTGGTGCACCAGCAGGTGATCCTCCCCTGCTGTACTGATCCCCAGCAGCAGGTGATCCTCACACTAACGTACTGATACACCAGCAGGTGATCCTCCTGCTTTGTACTGATACACCAGCAGGTGATCATATAGCTGTACTGATACACCAGCAGGTGATCCTCCTGCTGTACTGATACACACCAGCAGGTGATCCTCCTGCTGTACTGATACACCAGCAGGTGGGTCACTCCTACTGTACTGGTACACCAGCAGGTGTTCCTCCTGTATGCTGATACGCAACGGGTGATCCCTCCTCACTGCACTGACATCAGCAGGTGGTCCTCCCTGCTGTGCAGTACAACAGGTGATCACTCCTGCTGTACTGATACAACAGCAGGTGATCCTCACTGCTGTACGCACGTCCCCAGCAACAGGTGATCCTTCTGCTGTGCGTGACCACATCAACAATTGGTCACTCCTGCTGTACTGATACACCAGCAGGTGATCCTCCTGCTGTACTGATACAACAGCAGGTGATCCTCCTGCTGTACTGATACAGCAGCAGGTGATCCTCCTGTATTGCTGATCTAGTAGCAGTCCTCCTGCTGTACTGATACACCAGCGGGTGACCACTCCTGCTGGCACTGATACAACTTGGCAGGTGATCCTCCTGCTGTACTGATACATCAGCAGGTGGTCCTCCTGCTGTACTGCTACACACCAGCAGGTGATCACTCCTGCTGTACTGATACAACAACAGGTGATCCTCCTGCTGTACTGATACTAACAGCAGGTGATCACTCCTGCTGTACTGATACTACACCAGCAGGTGATCACTCCTGCTGTACTGATACATCAGCAGGTGGTCTACTCCTGCTGTACTGATACACCAGCAGGTGATCCTCCTGCTGTACTGATACAACAGCAGGTGATCCTCCTGCTGTACTGATACACCAGCAGGTGATCCTCCTGCTGACACTGATACATCAGCGGGTGATCACTCCTGCTGTACTGATACACCAGCAGGTGATCCTCCTGCTGTACTTATACAACAGCAGGTGATCCTCACTGTACTGATACCAGCAGGTGATCACTCCTGCTGTACTGATACATCAGCAGGTGGTCCTCCTGCTGTACTGATACACCAGCAGGTGATCACTCCTGCTGTACTGATACACAACAGCAGGTGATCCTCCTGCTGTACTGATGCCTCAGCAGGTGATCCTCCTGCTGTACTGATACATCAGCAGGTGGTCACTCCTGCTTGTACTGATACAACAGCGGGTGATCCTCCTGCTGTACTGATCACCAACGATCCTCCTGCTGTACTGATACAGCAGCAGGTGATCCTCCTGCTGTGCACAGTCTGTGCTTAGGTGATCCTCCTGCTGTACTGATACACCAGGTGATCCTCCTGCTGTACTGATACAGCAGCAGGTGATCACTCCTCCTGTACTGATGCAGTAGCAGGTGATCCTCCTGCTACTTGATACACCAGCAGGTGATCCTCCTGCTGTACTGATACACCAGCAGGTGATCCTCCTGCTGTACTGATACACCAGCAGGTGGTCCTCCTGCTGTACTGATGCAGCAGGTGATCACTCCTGCTGTACTGATACACCAGCAGGTGATCCTCCTGCTGTACTGATACACCAGCAGGTGATCCTCCTGCTGTACTGATGCATCAGCTGTTGGTCCTCCTGCTGTACTGATACAGCAGCAGGTGATCCTCCTGCTGTACTGATACACCAGCATTGATCCTCCTGCTGTACTGATCACACCAACAGGTGATCCTCCTGCTGTACTGATACACCAGCAGGTGATCCTCCTGCTGTATTGATACACCAGCGGGTGATCCTCCTGCTGTACTGATACACCAACAGGTGATCATCCTGCTGTACTGGCTCCCACCAGCAGGTGATCCTCCTGCTGTACTGATACGGCAGGTGATCACTCCTCCTGTACTGATGCACTTGGCAGGTGAGCCTCCTGCTGTGCTGATACAGCAGGTCACTCCTGCTGCACTGATACACCAGCAGGTGATCACTCCTGCTGTACTGATACACCGGCAGGTGATCCTCCTGCTGTACTGATACACCCAGCAGGTGATCCCTCCTGCTGTACTGATACACACCAGCAGGTGATCCTCCTGCTGTACTGATACCACCAGCGAATTCCTCCTGCTGTACTGGTACCACCAGCAGGTGTTCCTCCTGCTGTACTGATACACCAGCAGGTGATCACTCTGCTGTACTGAGTACACACCAGCAGGTGGTCCTCCTGCTGTACTGGTACCTCAGCAGGTGTTCCTCTGCTGGCAACTGATACACCAGCAGGTGATCCTCCTGCTGCACTGATACCAGCAGGTGTTCCTCCTGCTGTACTGATACACCGGGTGATCCTCCTGCTGCACTGATACACCGGCAGGTGGTCCTCCTGCTGTACTGATACCAGCAGGTGATCCTCCTGCTGTACTGATACATCGCTTGGGTGATCCTCCTGCTGTACTGATACAGCAGCAGGTGATCCTCCTGCTGTACTGATACGGTAGCAGGTGATCCTCCTGCTGTACTGATACACCAGCAGGTGATCCTCCTGCTGTACTGATGCACCAGCAGGTGATCACTCCTGCTGGCACTGATACACCAGCAGGTGATCACTCCTGCTGCAACCCTTTGTCTACCAGCAGGTGGTCACTCCTGCTGTACTGATACACCAGCAGGTGGTCCTCCTGCTGTACTGATACACCAGCAGGTGATCACTCCTGCTGTACTGATACACCAGCAGGTGATCCTCCTGCTGTACTGATGATACACCAGCAGGTGATCCTTCACACTGTACTGATACACCAGCAGGTGATCACTCCTGCTGTACTGATACACACCAGCAGGTGATCCTCCTTCTGTACTGATACATCCCAGCAGGTGGTCTCCTGCTGTACTGATCAGCAGCAGGTGATCCTCCCTGCTGTACTGATTCTACCAGCAGGTGATCCTCCTGCTGTACTGATACACACCAACAGGTGATCACTCCTGCTGTACTGATACACCGGCAGGTGATCCTCCTGCTGTATTGATACACCAGCAGGTGATCCTCCTGCTGTACTGATACACCAGCAGGTGATCATCCTGCTGTACTGATACACACCAGCAGGTGATCCTCCTGCTGTACTGATACAGCAGCAGGTGATCCTCACTCCCTGTACTGATACACACCAGCAGGTGAGCCTCCTGCTGTACTGGCCTACAGCAGCAGGTGATCCCCTCCTGCTGCACTGATACACCAGCAGGTGATCTCCTGCTGTACTGATACAGCAGGTGATCCTCCTGCTGCACTGATGGCAGCAGGTGATCCTCCTCCTGTACTGATAAACCAGCAGGTGAGCCTCCTGCTGTACTGATACAGCAGCTTAGGTGATCCTCCTGCTGCACTGATACTCAACAGGTCAGCCTCCTGCTGTACTGATGCAACGGCAGGCACTCCTGCTGTACTGATACACCAGCAGGTGATCCTCCTGCTGTACTAGTAAACCAGCAGGTGATCCTCCTCCTCCTTAAATCAACCATCAGTAAACAACTCTTAACCGACTTAACCCAAATTACCTCTAAGACGACACACTTCCACCACTATCCAGCCTCGCCTTTTCCTCCTCCGCCACTACCCAGCCTCACCCCCTCCTCCTCCTTCTCCCCCACCCTGCCCCATCTCCTCCTCCACCACTATCTAGCCTCGCCTCCTCCTCCTGCACTACCCAGCCTTACCTCCTCCTCCACTACCCAACCTTACCTCCTCCTCCACCATCCATTACACTACTCTCCTTATCCCTTTAGCATTCGTTCACTCCCTCATCCCACCACCTTCCTAATAACCCCAGCAGGTGCTGATGTACTCACTGACGACGTGGAAGTGGACGAAGTGGCTCATCTTGGGTTCAGTGGACACCTGACACTCGTACCTGCCGGCGTCTCTCTCTTGCACGTACTTCACCTGCAGTGTCCATGTTTCCGTGTCCGGCTCGTGCCACGCCTGGAACCTCTCGTCGGCGATGAAGGTGTAGCGATCCACCGTCAGGATGTGTGAGTCACGGTTCCTGATCCATGATATCTGGTTCAAGGTGAGAGAGAAAGTGTGTGTTAGCTCGTGATGTTGGTTCATGGTTCACGATAATGGTACAGAGAGAGAGAGTTAACAGCTAATGATGGTGTGTTATGGGATGTATGTATATAGTGTGTGTGTGTGTGTGTGTGTGTGTGTGTGTGTGTGTGTGTGTGTGTGTGTGATAGAGTGGTTATACTATCGACTACCTATGTGCTTCAGCTGGTCTTCTCACCAAAAGTATATATATATTATATATATATATATATATATATATATATATATATATATATATATATATATATATATATATATATATATATATATATATATATATATATATATATATATATTCACCTTAATTAAGTAAACAATACAGGTTAAATGATTTGTCAAAGAGAAAATTATTCCAATCACATTTAAGCGAAACAATTATACAATATGATTAAAGTTATATTAAAAATTAAGTAATTAAAAATAATGATGAAGTAATTAACAATAGATTCTAAAATACATTATCTACAGCTTAATGATTCACTAATATATAATTAATATATCATACGGCTATGATACTGATAACAAGGAAGGATAACACATAGACGTATACATGAAGATAACACGATAGCAGTAAAGAGTCTCCTGCTGTCAACACAAACACGGGCACACAAACTAATGCGATGAGGGAGTGTAAGAGGAGGCAGCTGACCAATACAAACACAGGGACAGAAAACCTCTCCCACATCCTGCCTACACTCTCCTAAACTTACCTGTGTTTTCTTGTTGACTTATTGAATTATTTGTGTTGAACTTGGCCAGCATACCTTTACTTTATACTCAATATAACGGAGTATAAGTCGACCAGGAACTTACCTTCACTCACCAACTCAAAAGCTTACCTGTGTTTTATTGTTGATTTAAATGTAAGTACATAAGTTGACCTTTAGCAATATGTCACCCGGTAATAATGTACTTTTTTACACAAACTTTTTACTTAGCATTCAATGTTTACTATATATTTACTGAGTGATTTTCAAAACAGACATTATTGATCCATTTCTCTCAGGCCCTTAGATGAACTGACGATTATGCCGCAGCAACATTAGCATTCCTAGTTTGGGTCAAGAGACTTCATGGATAAAGAAGATGTATGCCACTCGTCGATCAACCTCGCCTTATCACCTTGGATTAATTCTTAGTCACCCTCACTGTTAATCCTATGGAAGGAACGTGAGTGACCTACGATATCATAACCTTAGTTGTTTATGTCTACAGATAAGAGATACAGCAAATTTAGATACAGTTTATATAGATTGTCAGAGAAAAATGTCCCTACCTCCCTGCCTCCCTCCCTGCCTGCTTCCTGCCTCCCGCCCTACCTCCCTGCCCCCCTCCCTGCCTGCTTCCTGCCTCCTCCCTACCCTCCCTGCCTGCTCCCTGTGACACGGTGAGTTGGAGGGAGGGAGGGAGACAGATACATTTTTCTGGGGCACCCTATATTGTTACCCATTATAGTGTTAGCGGCGATAAGACCAACCTACAACACAAAGTGGACGACCAACAACTTTTGTGGCAAATATTTAAAGGTTCCTTCTTACCGGAACTTTTGTTTGATCGGCGAGGGATAGTAGTGGACCATATGGACAATGTGTGTGGAACTTGATGGTCAATGGATGGTGGAACCTGATTGTAAGTGGAGGGTGGAAACTGATGGCCAATCTGTGTGGACCCTGATGGGAAGATGAAGGAGGTGGGAGGAGGAAGAAGCCAGACAGACTCTTGAAGTGAAAATTGGATCATGCTGTGGAGAAAGATTCAGACACCTCCCACACCTCTTCCACACCTCTTACACCTCTCACCTCTTCGAAACCTCTTCCACACCTCTCACACCTCTTCCACACCTCTCCCACACCTCTCACACCTTTCCCACACCTCTCACACACTCTTCTAAATGTGAGTTGTGGGGGGTGATGCTGGGATGATTTATGTGCTCTTGTGAGTCTTCAGGCTTGGCTATAATCTTACCTCCTGGTGAAACTCAAATCGCGGTGTGTGTGTGTGTGTGTGTGTGTGTGTGTGTGTGTGTGTGTGTGTGTGTGTGTGTGTGTGTGTGTATGTGTGTGTGTGTGTGTGTGTGTGTGTATGTGTGTTTATGCTTTGAGTTCTGTACATTATTTGTATTTTTATTTTTCCACCCATGAGTGACGAAGCATTATGAAGTTCAAAGGGAAGAAGAAGAAGAAGAAGAAGAATCAGTGATCTTCTCGGTGTTCCGTGAAGTTGTATTGTTTTTGTCGCTTTTTGACTCATTTGACACTAAGTGTTTAGCTTACTCTTGAAACTGACCCTTTACTACTACTACTACTACTACTTTTTTTTTTCAAAACGTGGCCTCCAGCCTCCCCCAATAGCCACACCTTCGCCACCATTTAATTACCTTAATATTAAATATCCTAATACATAAGAAGCTATCCTATCTGTGTTAAATTAGTTGAGCCGCAGATCTATGCGCCATTCAGTGACTGTAGCCTCGTAGTCGATATCTGCAGCAGTTGTCGGAATTGGGGCAGAGGCTCTCGTTCCCCTGAGGCAGAGCAAAGCCGACCGAAGGAGAAAAGATCGACATCTCATCCAGGCTGTAACGAAACTTCGGGCTGCTTCTGTTCGGAGATCAACTCCGCGAGTCTGGCGTAAAACATCTTGCACTTGGTCCCATCCACCAGAGGTTGTGAACACTAGAGGAGTGAAGCTGCCTTGGTCAACGTTTTGGTTCTCTCCCATATGCCCTTATCTTGTCGTTCTCGTTCCTCCTATGTGCAGCATCGAGCTAGGTTACGGTGACATGCGGCCATGGGATCAAAATCCTGATGTCGAAGAAAGCTCGCTGTCCTCGCGTCCAGAATCCTCGAGCACTGACGTCAACACGGGCTTCGTTAGATGTGTTTGAAGTCCTGTGTTGGAAGATCTCGCCATCCAATGGAAGGAGGGTCGGTTCTACCATGACATCGGCAGATTTCCTTCAACATATTTGCTGTGAGGTCCTTACTTCATCATGCCTCATGCATGAAACCCCCTTTCTTGCACACCATGGCGTGATCGCCGTCATAGGAAAACCACACACGCATTGGGAGGGCAAACCTTCTACTGGCCGACCGTACCTTAGAGCAATGGCATCTGTAAATTCTTGTTTGTTAAGACTGAAACCATTTGCCCTTTTCGGTAACGTAGTTAACCAGTTCGAGGCGCCCACCTCCTGCGCTATAGCTACTTTTTTTTTCAAATTACTACTGGTACTGTTTTTTTAACTTGGCCTCCATCCCTCCCCCAACAGTCACACCTTCGCCGCCATTTTATTACCTTAAAATTAAATATCCTAATACTACTACTACTTGTTTTTTTTTCACATTGCCTCTTTCTACTACTACTACTGCTACTACTCTTTCTACTACTACCATTACTCTTTCTGATACTATTATTACTCTACTACTACTACTACTATTACTACTAGCACCTCACGACACAGTGTTTAAAGGTCCACACCGACTATGCGTGTGCACCATAACGTCAGCACATTACAGTATGGTCGTCCACCACACACCACAGGTCCTCTTCCCATTAATAACTATTTACTTCACTCCTTTACAACCATCAATCTTTTTTTATTGTCAAAATATTTAAATGTAATTAAATATGAAGATCCCTAAGTGCAGTTGATAATTATATTGACAGTTGTTCGTCACATCTGGTTTGTGGCCGCATTTTAACAGCACAAACCTCCAGTAAAAATAATGTATGTATGTATGTATGTATGTATGTATGTATGTATGTATGTATGTATGTATGTTCATAAATGGTGAGGGAACAACAAATTTAAACAGGATCACTTACATATGACACAATATACCGGAAGCTTTTAACCAGCCGACACAGTCATAACAACTGTGTTATTGGTATTAACACGTGATGTAGTCCGCTGGTTAGTGTCAGGAGACTCTGAAGCGGTGATGTGACGTAGCTATAATGTTCTCAGACCACACAGGTATTACAGGTTAATTACACAGGTTCTTGTTACGAGGGCAGAACGTAGGCCGCCGAGGAGCCTGACACCAACAGCGGGTCATCTTTAACACCATAAAAATCCAATAGAGTGTTGGCCAGGACATTGTGGCCCAGCGGTTAATATTAGCGTGGTACAGTCCGCGACAGGCAGTGTTGCAACCTGTAGTGACGATCGTACCACATCTGTAGTGACGACTATATGACATCTGTAGTGACGATCCTACCACACATTTGTGACACTGTCAGAGGCATCACATCTGTTGTGACACTGTCAAAGGCATCAAATCTGTTGTAACGCTGTCAGAGGTATCACACCTGTTGTGACACTGTCAGAGGCATCACATCTGTTGTGACACTGTCAGAGGTATCACACCTGTTGTGACACTGTCAGAGGCATCACATCTGTTGTGACACTGTCAGAGGCATCACATCTGTTGTGACACTGTCAGAGGTATCACACCTGTTGTGACACTGTCAGAGGCATCACATCTGTTGTGACGCTAACAGAGCATCACACTTGTTGTGACACTGTCAGAGGCAACACACTTGGTGTGACACTGCCAGAGCATCACATCTGTTGTGTGACGCTGTCAGAGGCATCACACTTGTTGTGCCACTGTCAAGGCAACACACTTGTTGAGACACTGTCGAGGCATCACACCTGTTGTGAGCTTGTGACACTGCCGAGGCATCACATTTGTTGTGACACTGTCAGGGCATCACATCTGTTGTGATACTGTCAGAGGCAACACACTTGTTGTGTCACTGTCAAAGGCAACACACTTGTTGAGACACTGTCGAGGCATCACACCTGTTGTGACTCTGTCAGAGGCAACACACTTGTTGTTCCACCATTGGCGGCACCAATATCACAATATTTCCTGAGACATCACTGTCAGTTGTGTGGTACAAACACATATTTCACTTCAAGTTTATAAACAAGGATCAAGTAGGTAAGTTTGACCTTAAGTAAAGTTTGAAGGAGAACACAGGTAAGGTTAAGCCTCAGTCGCTGGTTGTTGTGGTCGTCCTACGTCACCTGAGTTAACTAAAGTCGTCCTCTCCACATGACGACTGACCACCTCACTCACGCTCTCACCTGCTGTTGTAACGTTGTGTAACGCTACCTGTGAACTGATGTGTAACACGTAGAGCAAGATGCAAGGAGCTGCACCTTCTGTAACTCGTAGAGAGTGAGACACAAGGGAGCTGCACCTTCTGTAACTCGTAGAGAGCGAGACACAAGGGAGCTGCACTTCTTAACAAATGGGGCAGAGACGAGGCTGCACCTTCTGTAACTCGTAGAGCGAAACACAAGAGAGCTGCACCTTCTGTAACTCATAGAACGAGACACAAGGGAGCTGCACCTTCTGTAACACGTAAAGCGAGACGCAAGGAAGCTGCACCTTCTGTAACTCGTAGAGTGAGACACAAAGACTGCACCTTCTGTAACTCATAGAACGAGACACAAGGGAGCTGCACCTTCTGTAACACGTAAAGCGAGACCCAAGGAGCTGCACCTTCTGTAACTCGTAGAGGAGACACAAAGGAGCTGCACCTTCTGTAACTCTAGACGAACACCCACCTAGAGACCAAGGAGCTGCACCTTCTGTAACTCTAGAGACCAAGGAGCTGCACCTGTAACTCGTAGAACGAGACACAAGGGAGCTGCACCTTCTGTAACTCGTAGAGCGAAACACAAGAGAGCTGCACCTTCTGTAACTCATAGAACGAGACACAAGGGAGCTGCACCTTCTGTAACACGTAAAGCGAGACAGCAAGGAAGCTGCACCTTCTGTAACTCGTAGAGTGAGACACAAGGAGCTGCACCTTCTGTAACTCGTTAGAACGAGACCAAGGGAGCTGCACCTTCTGTAACTCGTAGAGCGAGACACAAGGGAGCTGCACCTTCTCTGTAACTCGTAGAACGAGACACAAGGGAGCTGCACCTTCTGTAACTCGTAGAGCGAAACACAAGAGAGCTGCACCTTCTGTAACTCATGAACGAGACACAAGGGAGCTGCACCTTCTGTAACACGTAAGCGAGACGCAAGGAAGCTGCACCTTCTGTAACTCGTAGAGTGAGACACAAGGGAGCTGCACCTTCTGTAACTCATAGAACGAGACACAAGGGAGCTGCACCTTCTGTAACACGTAAAGCAGACGCAAGGAAGCTGCACCTTCTGTAACTCGTGAGAGCGAGACACAAGGGGCACCTTCTGTAACTCGTAGAACGAGACACACAAGGGAGCTGCACCTTCTGTAACTCGTAGAGCGAAACACAAGAGAGCTGCACCTTCTGTAACTCATAGAACGAGACACAAGGGAGCTGCACCTTCTGTAACACGTAAGCGAGACGCAAGGAAGCTGCACCTTCTGTAACTCGTAGAGTGAGACACAAGGAGCTGCACCTTCTGTAACTCATAGAACGAGACACAAGGGAGCTGCACCTTCTGTAACTCGTAGAGCGAGACACAAGGAAGCTGCACCTTCTGTAACTCAGAGTGAGACACAAGGAGCTGCACCTTCTGTAACTCATAGAACGAGACACAAAAGCTGCACCTTCTGTAACACGTAAAGCGAGACACAAGGAAGCTGCACCTTCTGTAACTGTGAGGCGAGACACAAGGGGCTGCACCTTCTGTAACTCGTAGAGCGAGACACAAGGGAGCTGCACCTTCTGTAACTCGTAGAGGAGAAAGGAGCTACTTGTAACTCGTAGAACGAGACACAAGGGAGCTGCACCTTCTGTAACTCGTAGAGCGAAACACAAGAGAGCTGCACCTTCTGTAACTCGTAGAACGAGACACAAGGGAGCTGCACCTTCTGTAACTCGTAGAGCGAGACACAAGGGAGCTGCACCTTCTGTAACTCATAGAACGAGACACAAGGGAGCTGCACCTTCTGTAACTCGTAGAGCGAAACACAAGAGAGCTGCACCTTCTGTAACTCGTAGAGCGAGACACAAGGAGCTGCACCTTCTGTAACTCATAGAACGAGACACAAGGAGCTGCACCTTCTGTAACTCGTAGAGCGAGACAAGGAAGCTGCACCTTCTGTAACTCGTAGAGCGAGAGCACAAAGGAGCTGCACCTTCTGTAACACGTAAAGCGAGACGCAAGGAAGCTGCACCTTCTGTAACTCGTAGACGAGACACAAGGGAGCTGCACCTTCTGTAACTCGTAGAGCGAGACACAAGGGAGCTGCACCTTCTGTTACTCGTACAAGACACAAGGGAGCTGCACCTTCGCTGTCCTCAACACAGTGACAACAAACGGATAAGATAACAAGAAGAGGCGGCAGACCCCGGGCCTCGCGGTCTCTAAATAACATATACAGTTGTTCCTCGCCAACCGAGGCTTTCAACTTTAATTAAGTTACAACAGGCGGGCGAGAAACGAGGACGCCTCCCAGATATTAAATTATTTTTAATCGAATTCGGTTAAGAATTGATGTTGACCCCAAGGTAGTGAAGACGGACGAAATGTTGACATTTTCTGACGGAGGAAACAATACAAAGACTCTGAGATATATGTTAAGTAATTATATCGTCATTAACCACAAATGTCTGATCAACCTGACGACACAGAAACAGACATAGAAAAGGTGAACAGCCTCCTTCAATTCCTCTTCCACCGAGACTAAAACTAATAAAGTCATCAACTGTGTAAAAGAGAATTTTATGTATGAAGTTTGACTGCAAGTCTCCGATAAACTTTAGGTATTTGTGAAAACTTGGTGTTTACAGACAGAAGGGCAACACCATGACTATGTTCCTTCAAACTTTAGTAGAGGGAAAAATTAATTTCCTTATTGAAGGTAATTAATTTTCTTAAATAATAAGAAGAACAACAGACGTGAGACCAGAGGACGTCATCAACAAGGTCGTCTCACAGTAGAGTGTGACTAATGTTGTGTATCAACAACGTCACAACAAGAGCGAGAGTCAAGGTCGCTCTGACTGATGCCGAATGTTGTGAAGTACTGATGGTAGAGTGAGGACATAAAGGCGTGAACACAACACACGAGAGAGATGAAGAGTGCACTGACCTACTGATCTTGCAGGATACTGGTGCACTGATCTACTGATCCTGCAGGATACTGGTTCACCTACCTACTGATCTTGCAGGATACTGGTGCACTTACCTACTGATCCTGCAGGATACTGGTGCACTTACCTACTGATCCTGCAGGATACTGGTTCACCACCTACTGATCTTGCAGGATACTGGTGCACTTACCTACTGATCCTGCAGGATACTGATGCACCTACCTACTGATCCTGCAGGATACTGGTGCACTTACCTACTGATCCTGCAGGATACTGGCACTCTACCTACTGATCCTGCAGGATACTGGTTCACCTACCTACTGATCTTGCAGGATACTGGTGCTTACCTACAGATCCCAGGATACTGGTTCACCTACCTACTGATCTTGCAGGATACTGGTGCACTTACCTACTGATCCTGCAGGATACTGGTGCACTTACCTACTGATCCTGCAGGATACTGGTTCACCTACCTACTGATCTTGCAGGATACTGGTGCACTACCTACTGATCCTGCAGGATACTGGTTCACCTACCTACTGATTTGCAGGATACTGGTGCACTTACCTACTGATCCTGCAGGATACTGGCACTTACCTACTGATCCTGCAGGATACTGGTTCACCTACCTACTGATCTTGCAGGATACTGGTGCACCTACTTCATGATCCTGCAGGATACTGGTGCACCTACCTACTGGTCCTGCAGGATACTGGTGCACCTACCTACTGGTCCTGCAGGATACTGGTTCACCTACCTACTGATCCTGCAGGATACTGGTTCACCTACCTACTGGTCCTGCAGGATACTGGTTCACCTACCTACTGGTCCTGCAGGATACTGGTTCACCTACCTACTGATCCTGCAGGATACTGGTTCACCTACCTACTGATCCTGCAGGATACTGGTTCACCTACCTACTGATCCTGCAGGATACTGGTGCATCTATCTACTGATCTTGCAGGATACTGGTGCATCTACCTACTGGGCCTGTAGGATACTGATACACCTACCGACTGGTTGCCGAGGTTCCTGATCCTGCAGGGGAGGAAGGCTTTAGTCCCAAGCTGCGATGACACATTGGTGGGAGACGATGGGTCGAAATAGGGCGGAGGAGGAGCTGTTGAAGGGATAGTTCTCTGGATCCTAATGGGAGCGGGCTGGGGTTGCAGGTAGGAGGGAGAGGAGGACGATAAGGAGTAGAAGGAGAAAAAAGAAGAGGGTGATAAGGAAGGAGAAGCTGGAGAGGGAGAGGGAAGGAAAGCAGAGGAAGGTGGTGGTGAAGTGCTTCTGATGGCGGAGAAGAACAACCGCTGACGGAAGTGATTATTTGGCACAAACTCCTCGGCTGCTGTGGTCGTGTAGAGTGATGTGCCTGTGGGCGAGACATACATGGATACAGTAAACATAAGATAGTTGAGGGAATATCTACTGCTTATTAAGAAAAAAAAATAGCAATTCGACATCACTTATAACTTTCATCCCAGACACCATAATTGTGCCATTTAGTGACATTTGATCCATGTAAAGCACACAAAATTGCATTCCATTTTCTTGGAAAGTCGTCGAATTTGGTCAAATTTTGTGTTCTGAGAAGGTAACACAAAATAAGTTTAATTCCGCATGAAATAAAAGCTTTGCTTATAATATTTCTTAAAGTCTTCAAAAACTTTGAGAGATTTTCGTTAAACATATTATGCATTTGTCTTCTTATTATGCAAAAGTTTGTGTATTCAATGTTTTGTTTACAACTGCAAAGGATCTAATACTTTACACAATAGTTACACTTGACAACAAGTTACTGTTTGGGGAAGTGACTTAGTTTTCTTGAAGGCGTTTCAATAATGCCACAGGTGGAAAAGACTTGCTGTAATTATTTTATTATATATCATTAACTTTCCACAACCGAAAGAGTAGACGAACGCGTTTATGCTCGTCTCACTGAGATAATTACCTGGGTGATACACCTCCAGTCATTAGTAACTTAACATCAGAGAAGAAGGTAATAGTTGATCATTATTTCCCTCACATGTCAGACTATAAGACACATTATACTGCAGGTGTGAGGGAATATGTTACACTTGGTATGCCGAGGAGACGATAATCTCTCTGAGAAAACTCGAGTTGTGTTACACGTGCGGGCGGCCCCACTCGTCCGCCTCAACACCTTCAACCATAAAATATTTTCCCAGTATTTACAAGCTCGCTAACTCCCTCACGCCAGCTGTGTGCTCCAATTTTACTGAGGCTCCGTCATATTCCTTTATGATGAAAACTTGGTAATATGGCGCTATTAATATAATGTAGAGTTTTTAATATAGGAGCTAATGATACAATATAAAGTTTGAATATAGGCGTTAATGGCGTGATGTAGAGATTTAACATAGGCGCTAATGACGTGATATACTGTAGAGTTTCTAATATAGGCGCTAATAATATAATGCAAAGTTTCAATAGAGCTACCTACTAAACACAACACAGTCTACAATACATCACACAATCCGGGACTAACATGATAACTTGCCTCGGTAATCATTAATAAAATATCTCTTACAGCACCGGCCAGCGTCTAGACACAGGTAATTTCTGAAGAAGCAAAGAGCAGACATTTACCCCCGAGGGAGGAGAGGGAAAAGGGGAGGGAGGGAGAGGGGACAGACAGACTTACATTATAGTTATTATGTAGATATAGGCCAGAATGTTGTATAGGAGTGGCAAAATGACCAGCATATATTATAATGGATGTTATAGCGTCCCCACAATGCAGTTAACATCATTTTAATGTGGTATATTTCCCTTCATGTTGTTTGTTTATTTGATAATGGTTTCTCTTCTGTTTAGCTACACACACACACACACACACACACACACACACACACACACACATTCTTACCAAAACATTCTCTGATTAATGAACAGTTATTGCTTTAAATTTGCATATAAACTTTGCTTATTGCCGATCTAGGTGCCAATTATACCCTGAACGTAAACCAATTGAAGATAATTGTAACTATTTGGTGAAATTTAACTTGAGACCTGTGGGAATTTGTGACCCATAGGTAAGCAGCTGAATAGATAATGTAGGAGGGAAGTAACACAAGCTGCCATGGTCTTGTTGTAACACATTGTGGGGAGCTTACTGTACAGATCTAGTAAAATATTCCCCGGTAACTCTGAGTTGTCTAGGCTCAGTGATTTTGTTTACACTATTACTTCACATATAAGAGCCCCTCGTAGCCCCGGCCTGTACCCCAGCTGGTTCACTGTCAGGGAGCTATTACGTTCTCTGGAGGAGTTGAGGATACTGGGGAGTAATCACTTGTTATCTTCCTTATTTTCATTTATATCTCTCATTAAATACTTTCCTTTTGGTGAAACTTTCTGTTATTATATATTTACAATTATTTATATTAGTTACATATGGCTTTTGCAGATAAATCTTATCTATGTTGATAATTATTGCAATATATACAGTAAGAGTCTGGTGGAAGCAAGGGGTAATATCAGCCAAATTTAAACCTCACCAAGAGATTTAAGTTAGGTTAGGTTAGGTTAGGTTAGGTTAGGTTAGTGTGAGCAACAATAAGAGCAACAGTAACTTGAGTCTTGACTGTGGTGAGTAAGAGTGTGACATTTACTTCCGGGTCACTAAGATTCTGCTTGTTTATGTATGTTATTATACGACAGTTGTAATACTCAATATAGCTGGTGTCAACTATAGTACATAACCAGGGAGTATCTACACACACACACACACACACACACACACACACACACACACACACACGCACGCACACCCACACACACGCACACCTAGAAATTGGGCCCCCAGTTATCCCATTTTAAGCTTAATCTCACCGCCAGTATCTGGGGCCTAATCTTGAAGTGAGCCGTATATGCAAAATTACGAATGGACTTGGTCTCGCCTCGCTCTTGGTCTCGTTCTTGGTCTCGTTCTTGGTCTCGTTCTTGGTCTCGTTCTCGAGTATATCACTAACTCCATTCACAATAATTAAACCGTACTTTCATTATGGTAATGACTGGTCTTAATCCTGGTGGTGATACGAGACACATTCTAGCTAACATAGTTACTTACAACAATGTTCATAATTGTTTAATACTAATTAGAAAATGTAAGTCCAACGTTAATCACATTTGTGAGCTAATGCATAAACTTGATTTAATGTATAAGAGTCTATGGTTTACCATGTATAGTACTATGTGTGGTGTAGCGTGGAGAGTAAATAATATCGTGACCTCAAGTATGTGTTTTGGCAATACTTAACGTTTATAGTTAGTTCTTTATTGACAATGTTTATATACAAAAATAAATATACTAGTAAAGTTGAGTAAAATGTTCCTTTAAAAAATGACAACATACAAAAATGTAAACAGTCAACACGTGTAGCCCAGGTGTTGGCAGGTGTTCCAGCAGCCAACTCACAACACAAGACACGTGTAACCCAGGTGTTGGCAGGTGTTCCAGCAGCCAACTCACAACACAAGACACGTGTAACCCAGGTGTTGGCAGGTGTTCCAGCAGCTACTTCACAACACAAGACACGTGTGGTCCAGATGTTGGCAGGTGTTCCAGCAGCCAACTCACAACACAAAACACGTGTAACCCAGGTATTGGCAGGTGCCCCAGCAGCCAACTCACAACACAAAACACGTGTAACCCAGGTGTTGGCAGGTGTTCCAGCAGCCAACTCACAACCCAAGACACGTATAGCCCAGATGTTGGCAGATGTTCCAGCAGCCAACTCATAACACAAGACACGTGTAGCCCAGGTGTTGGCAGGTGTTCCAGAAGCCAACTCACAACACAAGACACGTGTAGCCCAGATGTTGGCAGGTGTTCCAGCAGCCAACTCACAGCACGACCGTTCTGGTAGCTGTCACCGACCAGTTAATATGTCCCACGGGGAGACAAGCTCTTGAAACAGTCACAGTCATGTCAGGGAGGAACAGGCAGAGAAGATTTACTTTTCACTTGTGTGTGGACGTGACGAGAGAGTTCCCAATTCATTTTTAACAAACACGGAAGAAACAAGAAGTTTTCCTTGAACTTAAGGTGAGCTAAAACTGTTTCTGTCAGAGGCCGACAACGTCACCATAAGTATATATGGATCTCTTAGTTACTGGTTCCTGTTCACGTGAACTTGACAAAAGACGAAAAAAATGTGTATACATTTCCTGGGCGGCCCTACCAGGTGGGGTTGTCACCTGTGATCTCAGCACCAGGTGAGGTGTCCAGGTGGTGCTGGAAGATCATCGTCGTTTGTGATTGTTGTCTCACTCCTCAAGACGGATGAAAGAATGCTGTCACTGACAACAACTGAACACTTGTTTATCTCTAAAGTTACGGAAAATGATACTTCGGCCTCCTGAACAAATTGTCTCCACTAAATTGAGAACAGGAATTTCAACCTGAAAAATACTATATCACACCTATCAAAAGTGTTTGGGTAGGAAACTTTTACTAGCTCAATTACTGGGTTTTTTTCATAACTAGGAAAGGTTCTAGAGATTTGAAAGTACGTAAGAAAAAAAGGGAAGAGAGATATTGATAACAGGAAGTCACTGTGATAAAAGACATCCTCACACAACACACCGTCGGCCTGAGCTGGTGACGAGCACTACACTGGAGCCTCCGACCTTTACTGTTGTGGAGACCAAACATGAGAGGCTGACCGTCGTCTCTCAGAACCAATATATTTTTATTACTTGCTGGAGTTATAACGATCACCAGGATGGCAACACTACACGCTTCCTTGAGCATAACATCTGACAACTTTTTTTACTCAACCTTTCAGGACTGAGCTCGCTTTAGCCAGGTCAACTAAGGTCGAGTATTGGTGATCATGATCTGGCCAACCATGATATCTGTCCCTAACTGGCTGGGCCTCGTAGTTATGGAAACGATGACCATAACAAGATTGGTTCACAGCATAACTCCCGCCACCTGGTTGTATACAAACTAAACACAACAGCAAATTTTTAAAGCGATGATTGTTAGCAGTCTCGTATCTTACCTTCATGTTAGGTAATAGTCGTTATTTAGCACATTGTTCGAGCGGTTTTGATAAGTAAATATTCTGTTCTACAACTGTAAATTATTTGGGTAAAACTGTATAATATTCCAGCGTCAATTCGAAAATTTCTCTGGATTTTCTTTGTTAGAATATTTTTTTTTTATATATATTGTTAAATTTAGCTTACTTTTTCCAGTGAGACTCGAACCATGAATCTAGTGAGAGAGAGGCGAAATTGTTACCGCTGAGCTACCGAATAAGTAAAGTAGCCAATTTGGTAGACAATCGACTATCCACTCACCCTATTAGGCCTCACGGGTCTCCAATGGGCCGGCCCTAA